GCCTGTCGGCGAATCTAATAAACTAAACTAAGTTGACTATGCATGCGTTCTTGGTTACAAAACCAAAAAAACGACTAAAGAGAGAACTCAATAAGCGAACTACTCTCCCCGCCCCCTCCTCCTTCAATTGCCTATGTACTTGTCTTTTTTTTATCTTTTTGCCAGGGCGTTACTGGTTAACAATAAATGACCAGGGAAGTAGAATTTAACAGGTTCTCTGGCAGAGACAAGTTAAAAGCTGGTGTGTGTGAAAAGATGGAAATGTCTCGGGTCACTGTCACTTCCCCAAACAACACTTCATGAAAATGGGGTACTGGGGAATTTAATGCTGGGGGGTAACCCTGTGATGGACTAGCACCCCACCCAGCGGGGGAATAGAAATAGTCCTAGTCACCTCACTTTACAGAAACAGGAGTTAAGCGGTGGCCAGTTGGGCCACTTTGCTCATAAACAGACTTTATTCTTTAATGAGACACACTACATGAGAAAATATAATATATGCCATTTCACTTGTTCTCTTCAATTACTGTCAATTCTTTATGGTCTTCACAGCCCTTGCTGTCTATCTTAGCTTCTTTTGTTCTTGGAACTTCATCATCTAGAAATTAATAAGAGAAGAATTGATGCTTTTACAATATTTCTATTGAGTTCTGAGTGCATGGCTCACTGTTATGTGAGGGGAGGGGAGGAATGGGGAGCAGAAGAAGGCTTAACACCTCTACCCCTAAGGATAGCTAGCATGTAATTTCTCCCTACAGTATCACTACTGAATCAAACATTGGGCTCATGAGAATTTAAGAAATGATCACAAACTGGAAAAGCTCATGATTTTAATCAAATACTCCTTATTAGAGACATAGGATAGAAATAGAGCAAAGTTGTTTGTTTTCCTGCAAAGTTCACTTAGCATTTGAATTCCAGTAACAGGGGATTTAAGGTCAAGTCACCCAAGAGTCATCTCACCCAATGTCATGTCGCCCTGAGCCTGAGTCATGTTGCCCAAAATTTTAGTCATATCACCTGAAAAAAAAGTCAAGTGGCTCAAAGAAACAAATACTTAAAAGATCACGGCCTGTTGTTCAAAGAGCAGATAATGCTATACAGCAGATAAAACACTATCCAATTGATAAGTGTAACCAAAATGTACTGCACTATCCACTGCATATCCAGTGGATAACATCATCCAGCCTTTAAACATGTGGGGCCTGACTTACAGACTGTATATAGGCAGTAAAATTGAAAAAATCTTTATCACTAAAGGGCCTTTTGTTTCTGACAACACAATGAAGATTCTAAAAGCAGGGCAGTAACAAAGCAGAAGCCTGTAGCAACAGAACTTATTTTTCCTTTTCACTGCATTTATGTATTTATGACCCTAAATATTTTAATGAAACTTACTATAATCCTCTCTTTCTCGTTTCAATTCACCAACTATTCTTTCAACATCAGCAAATGCAACAGACTCTGGTAACTTGAATGACACACAAACCATAACCTTTTTTGGTGCAACATCCCGCACACAGTGAACACTGCACTCACTGTTTAGACTACATCCCAAATTCTTTTCCACTTGCCGCTTGGCATCATCCCCTGGAAACTGGGACTTGGAGAAGCAATAGCAGTGAATCATAGGAAGCTGTAATAATTGTTTGTGTGGAGTGTAAAGACCATGAAAAACATCCAGAAATTCCACTGCACTAGCAGGTAGATTCATAACAACATGTGTAAAGGGTCTGCTGTAATTTCCTTGAACACTTTGATTAGTGGTCGACAATGCTAACAATGATGATGATAATGAAGACAGCTGGACCATTTTTCTCACAAAGTCCCTCCCATCCAAATTAAAAGCATGAAAATTATCCTTGACATGATTGATTTTTGCATTTTTCAATAAAGCATCATAGGATGCAGGATTCAAGTCATTGGCATAAATAGTGCATCCTTTCTTTGCCGCTGGAATAGCAAATGGACCAACTCCTGCAAACACATCACAAACTACATCATCAGAATCAAAAGATTCAACAAGTCGCCTGTGTTCTGTTTGAAGACGAGAATTCCAATAAACCTTAGAGAAGTCAAACTCAAAAACACAGCCATCTTGTTTCACAGAGGTATATAAGTTGCTCTCTCCAGCTAACACTTCCATCTTAAAGAAACGAAAAGTGTCATGGATGGTGTTTGTTTTGTTCACAACAGTTTTTATCTGAGGGGAGTTCTTGTCCAATATCACTTGCCCTGTAAATATGAAAAAGAAAAGAAGAGATAAATAGCAACTATCAAGTACAAGACTTTCATATGTGAGAGTGGGGTGGGTGGGGGAATGGTGGTGATTATTTGGTTAATATAATTGGAAAAAACTAAGGCAAGTATTGCTGGGTCTATGTCTACCTGCCTTCATCTGGACATTTATTAGTGGCCTTTCTTGTCCACTTTTTCCAGGTCCAATTCGAATTTGGAATGTTGGTTTTTTGAGGAGGGAGGAAACCAGAGGACCTGGGTAAAAACTGGCCCAGCAAGGATGAGAAACAACAACAAAGTAACACCAAGTCAGGGAATCGAACTCGGGCCGCAGTGGTGGGAGGCCAGCGCTCTCTCTCGCCACTACGTCTCCCCGCTCCCCAAAATAAATATGAACTATGAAGTACAAGACATTCATATGCGAGGGTGGGGTGAGTGATCGTAGTGATGACTTGGTTAGTCCTGTGGAAATTGATGAGAGGATTGCAGAGTTTACGAATCTAGACATTCATTGAGAGGTGCATGGTAAACTCTCTCTCCTCCAACAAAATGCATCCATGAAGGATAAAAAGATGAATATCACCTACCGATCAGTGATTTGAACTCTAACTGGGAATCTCGTAAATTCACGTGTGCTATGTGACCAATTGTCTCGAAGGATGAAGGTATTTCATTCATTTCATCCGGTAATATGGCTCTTAAAACTTGCTCTGATGTCCAATGTTCGTAGCCAAGTACCAAATCGTAAGTCGTTTCTTCAGCTCCCTGACTCTGGGCAAATTCTCGATCCTTTTCTTCCAAAGTTTTCATCGAGTTCATTGGATGTAGAAGGAGAATCTTCCTACTTGTTTCACCCACATCTGGGACAATGTTTTTTATACGAGGTTGGTTCAAAAGGCATTTGTTCAGACGTTTCAAAAAAAGTGATCACTTTTTGGCCTCGATTCGAAGAGCTGGAAGGGTGATTGTAGTTCTCAAAGCCTCTCTATCCAAGACTTTCATTCCTTTCGCTGCATTTGGAGGACTAAAACATCTTGATAATTTCTCCATTTCTTGGTCAGGATTAAGGGGAGGGAGAAATGACAAAATCTTCAGCGGTTTCTCTTTATGCTGGAGTACCTTTATGTAAAAACATCTGACAAATTTGTTTCTTCTTTTGATTTCGAAAGTTGGCGGAAATAAAGGAACGCTAAAATGCCCTGAATTATTTTTCCTTTTGCTATGGCGGCCGATGTCCTGCAACGTATCCATCCCGACATTGCCAAATTTGCTGAAGCCGTACTTAACAGTGAAGGAATTGGGGTTTGTGGTGAGCTGCTAAAGATTGTGGAGCCCAAGTCAAGGTACCCAACGACGTTTTTATAGCTTACGTTAAGCAACATTTTGACGAATTTTACGGGTGAAATTCAGGGTTAGCTGGGGTTCTTATTTCTCGGATATGTAGCAGTGTATTTAAGGAGTATTTGCAGCGCCGGTGTAAAGGTGAAATTATGTATTCAACGCGATCTTTCTCTGTCTTGTTTGTGTTCGATAGTTTGTCCTTCATTAACCCTCGTATTAAGAAAGGATCCTGCGATCGATTCAAGGTTTTGGTTCCATATGCTGGTAGAACTCTGAAATGTAAGTAAACACCAACATTAGCGTGCACTATTTTAATCAATTTGACTGTATTTTTCCCATATTTTCAACATTAAATTGCTTTTATTTTTTCCTTGAATTTTAATACATTTTGAATACATGTAGATTTGTTTCAAACTCAGTGCTTGAGTTGCAAGTCAATTTGATTGTATCTTTTTACAATTATAACATAAAGAACAAAGTATGCATTGTCTGATAGGTCAATTCAGTTTCCAAGCGAATGTTTTTTTTAAATTATAAAGTCTGCAAACCAGTTATGTCAAAAAAGCAATGGAACGCATTTTCTGAGCTCTACAACGGAAAAAGGCCACATTTATTTAGATGTTGGGAGAGTACTCAGAAAGCTGACAAGTCACTCACGTTTGGCTTGTGATTTAAAGGCTTTCCTCGTGTTCTCCTAATGTCCTGTGTGGCACCTTATAGAGTGGGAAAATGTGTTCAATTTGCAAATAGCTGTTCTGTATTATTGTTCTTATATATTTTTGAAGGGGAGGTACTATTTAACCAGACCCAACCAGATTTTCCACCAGATTTTATATTTGGACCACAGGATCAGGAATTTGTTCCAAATATTGAAAAAATTGAGGTATGGCCAAGGTGAAATACCAAAAATCCTTAATTTGGAACTTTCCATCAAATAAGCGCTTTTTATAATATCATGTGACTGAATATCTCCTAACTAAAACTGGGGGATATCTGAGAATATACCCCTGGATAAGCCCCAACTGGTTGGTCCACATGACTCCAATACAGACTTTGGTATGTCCCCACTAAATTGTGTCTTTTGTTAAAATGATGATTGTCGCTTTCATTTGCTGACAAGGATTTAATCCCAATTTCTGTGGATACATAAAATTTTAACTTGATTTCCAAGATGAGTGTGGTACCATTGACAAGGTTACCTGGGTCAGATTTTGGCAGTGGGGCTAGCTTGCCTTCTCAAAGGCATTTGAAGACTGGCAAGGCAATGTACTGAAAATCAAGAGAGCATGATAGACCCTGTTATATTTCCAGTGACTACTGACTAAAAATATTCTTTTAATAATTATTACTCCCTAGTCTCTTGAGAACTGGGACAGCAATAATCCAGAAAGCTTAGTAAATCTGATCAAAGAACTGATCAGGGAATACAAAGAATATCAAAGAGAGCAAGTGGAGAAAATCCCCAGAATCCACTTTGAGTACACGACACTTGCAGCTGACAGCAGTTATCCTGAATTTGAAGTACATGTTATTAAAGGGCAACTGGTAAGGAGAAGGTTTGTGCATGCGAGCTGCAGAAAATCACACCCCCAAGCAAGAGCTTTGTAATAATAAGAAGTGGAAGGGGGATAAATTCATTGTCACAAAAACTCAAGCCTTAACATTCAAACACTCTGTCATCTTTGTGTATCAAAAGAATCCATTGTTCATAGGTTAAGGTCAATTTTATTATGAAAGCAATGGAAAGCATAAAAGCTTATTTCAAAATATAGTCCAGTGTTTTATTAATCTCAGACCACCACCACCCCCTCCTGTTTTGGCACATAAGCTAAGTGAAAAAAAATTGATGGATGGGAATTTTAAAAAAGTGCTTTCCTCCAAACTAAAACAATTAAAAAAAAAAAAACTAGAGTAAAATCATGGTGAACATGTTAATAAGATGTTAATAATCATAATTATTAAATGTTATAAAATGTTAATAATCATAATTATTATCAAAATGTGACAGTAGATTGTGTTGATTTTATTTTTTGGTCCCAGAATACAGACTCTATTGTCAATTTTATGATCAAGCTGCCAGTTGATCTCACTGGAATCCCACCATTTATTATAAGGGTGAGATGATTGTTTTTCAATTTTGATTTTTGAGTAAGACAGCTAAAGAAACATCTTAAGGGAGTCGTGCTCGTTAACCTTGTCACTCCCAAGATCTCATTAGTAATTCTCCTTACACTCTGCTATACAATTCTTACAATGTTAGCTTGAAGAATTTGGTAATGGATCAACCGCTCCCTGGTTAGCTCAATTGGTTAGAGCACCGGATTGTGTTGTGCGGGAGTTCAAGGGTTCGGGCCCCGGCTGGACCAATACTCATGGTCTTAAAATAACTGAGGAGAATTTACTACCTTTCTATAATATCAAGAAATGGATAGATATCCTAGTCTTCTCGGATAAGGA